CATATGGGATTAAACATCACTCTAGTCCTTCGTTTTGTTCTGAAAAAATTCCAATTTTTCGGAAATTAATTTTTTTGAAGAGAGCGGTCAGCGAGGTCAGTGTCTCCTATATTTTTTCACAGAAAATCTATCTCTGCTGATAGTGTATTACACTGGATACATAAGCGTTTTTCATTTGTAGTTCTCAGAAGCCACAGACGCTCAAATTCTCGGTCACAAACATATCCAGCTCTCTTCAATAAGCACATAAAGTTTTTTATGTCCTTTAAAAACACTAAAAATGCAGTTACGAGAATTCCCTGAAAAAAGCCTCAAATACATGTAAGTGTTGAAAATACTAATTTCTTTCCACCAGCAGTGCTTCAGTCTGCCACAGTGTAAAACTGGGTGATGTTTGAAGCGCTTAAACTGACCAGGTTCACCCCTTCTATTCTACAAAACGATAATCAGTGGAAACAGTGAGATGATGCAATATTTAGGTAATATTATGTCACTCGCCCTCATATAAATATTTCACTCAACTGATGAAACGCCACTTAGTGTTTGCATGATAGAAACAGATTCATCACAGCAGAAGTTGAACTACGACTAAAATTAAGCTCAAAAAGTTACGGCTGCAACGGTACAACGATCAGAATCAACGGAGTATAAAATCAGGCAACTAAGAACCCTTTCTTAGCACAGGGACCCAAAAAGCCAAATAAGAAATGAATTTATGACCTGTCCTGGGCTGGATAAGCGCGGTATTTCTAACAGAATCATGCGCGAGACACAGCATATCCGTTCCACAACTCTCAGCACAACTGATACAGCAACAAAGACGATAAAATGACAAAGCTGTTTAACGAAAAATATCCACGGAATAACAATGCATTTGATCTTCTGGCAACTTATTTATCAACCTCTTTGTAATATCGAAAGAAAAAAATGTTAGGTTCAATAATCCAGAAAAATACGTCGGCTTCAATAATTTTCACAGAAAGAATTTAGATGGAAAACGCATTACAGGAAATTATAGCACAGCAGACATCGGGCTGAGTAGATAACATTAAGCAGTTTCCAAAACAAAGACTCGATATAATGTAAAATCTGCCTCGTTACAGGAAATTATCGCTGGTAACTAGATACAAAGAAAAAAGGAAAAAAGCTGACCATTTCCTTTTAAAATTTACAAATAAGCGGTAAAATTGTTGTGAAGCCCCCACTCAAAAGCAGAGGAATCCCTTCAAAATGGATTTATATGGTTCTTTACACATACTTAGCTTTTAGCTTTTCCAGTAGCCAATACCCACTCCTTGAAAAAGGTTCCATGTATGCCGCAGTAAATAGCGATTCCAAAAGTGCCCACAACGAAACCCCTTTGCAGGAGTCATTGATTCGGCGCGTCAAAGCCATCGTAATCGAAAAGTCGTTTTAAGGCCAGCCTAAGCAATGTTGCAGCAGAACTACGTCTAGTCGCACTGTTGAAAAATCAAACTTAAATCAACGGCCGCCGCTTATTGAGCATCGCAGTCTGAATCAAGCCTCACCGGTTTGGTATTTTAGTTCCTCTTCTCTCTAATCATCATTTAGCTTATATTTTATCTTTTCTTCCAGATTTGAAATCATTTTCTATTTGTATCGCATTAAAAGGTAAAAACAAATTCTACTTTATTTCTGTTTAACACATAATGCAATCTGTTGTCCCTACAACAGAAAGCACTACTAAGCGTAAGCTTTACTGGCCGTCGACTATATCCAAATTATGAGCTCAAAAGAGATTCGCTATTATGGATATTCTGTAGGAAACATTGCCAAAATTGTGTATGAATGAGAGGTTTCAGCGTCACGTTATGTTCTAACCGAAGCGGTGCAGCCAATAATGTTATAAATGGGGTTTCCGTTTAGCCGCTGAGCAGGTTCCAACGTCAAGCTAAATTTTTTACACTACGAGGAAGAATATCTGAAGTTAAAGTTAAAACAAAATCTTTGATTTGCGAGTTTTTTTCAGGCATTAAAGGTGCCGTCGTTGACTGTTATATCTTGATGTGAAAACAAATTGAATTAGAGGACGAGCGACTCAGGAACAATGATGTGAAAGAGGCGGAGAAAGCCGCGGTCTTGGAGAGTAAAAAATCGACAGAAGTGTAGCGGTTGGATACTGTCTGAAAAGCACTTGTTCCTGTGTTAAATGAATGCTCCATTGTTTATATTCGACATTCTTTCATGACAATTCATTCTCTTTTTCTTTTGTTTCCTCTGGAAAGAAGCTTTTTAAAAGTCCCTAGAAGTTTGCTTTACTTTTTAAATGTTCACTGCTCGTTGGCGCTCTCAGCCTTGTTTTTTCTATTTTTTCTACGCGCTAGCCATTGAAGAAGGCGTAAATGTTTAACATGTTTTGGCTTCGTGTGCCTAAACATGGAAAGAGCTCTTCTGGTAAATTTTGTGATACTGAATTTATTAGAAAATTAT